CGGCAAGCTATACGATATATTAAGAGTGGAGAGTGTTCTAACGCGATAGAAGTAAAAAAAAATTAAAAAATGATTATAATGTAGAAGTTTCTCCACAAACAGTATGACGAATTTTTAAGAAAAATAATTTAAAGTCTGCAGTTAAGGTTAAGAAGCCACTTTTATTATCTCATCATAAAAAAGCAAAATATAATTTTGCTAAAAAATATCGAACTTGGAATAATGAAGATTGGAATAAGATTGTATGGTCTGATGAAAGCAAATTTAACTTTTTTGGATCTGACGGATGACAATATTGCTGGAAAACTATAGGCGAACCACTAAAAGATAACCATGTACAAGGGACTGTAAAATTTAGTGGAGGGAATTTTTGTATGGGGTTGTATGACTTCTCAAGGAATAGGATATTTATGTAAAATCGATGGTAATTTGGATGCTGAATTGTATATTAAAATATTAAATAAGGACTTTTTAGGGACATTAGAATATTATAATTTTAATATTTCAGACATTATCTTTTAACAAGATAATGATCTGAAACACACTGCACGAAAAACAAAGGATTGATTGGCTTCTAAAAATATTATTGTGCTTGAATGGCCAGCACAATCTCCAGATTTGAATCCTATTAAGCATATGTAGAGTGAAGTAGAGAGGCGATTATGAAGTATTAAAGAACCCATAAAAAACAAAAATGAGTTATAGGAGAGAATTCAAAATACATGGAATAGTATTGAAATCGATATTTGTCAAAAATTAATTCATACAATGCCTGAACGAATTAGTGATGTTATAAAGTAAAAAGGAGGTTACACCCATTAGTAATTTTTTAATATTTATTTTTTTATTTTTGGTATGTTATTTTTATTTCATTAATTTATCGTTAATTTTTAATATTTAAATTTTTTTAAATTAATTTTTTAATTTATTATATTTTTAGAATAGCAATATCTTATTTTTAATAAAATAAGGTTTTAAAAGTTAAATTAATAAGATTTGGTAGCTTTTTTTTTTAAAAAAAAGATTTTTTAATTTTTTTTTTAATTTTTTTAAATTTTTTAATTTTGTTTTATTACAATGTTAATATTTTAATGTTTTTTTTAGTTTTATTTTAATTGAATAAAAAAATATTTAATATTTTGATACATTTTAATCTATTTAATAACTATTTCATTATATTTATTAAATTTATGTTTTAAAAATCAAAAAAAAAAAAAAGAAATTGATACTTACCAATACTCTAAAATATATAATTTTTTTAATTTTAAAAAAATAAATAAAATGTGAGTTTAATTTAATTTATTATATTTAATTTTATATAAAATTTATATCAATAGATAATCCAGGTTCGTGGCTTTTAAATGATAGTACTCACATAATTATATAATAAAATCACGTGAAATTAAATGATCGACAAAAATTTGTACTATGCACTTGCATTTCTTTTGGTCGCCACTGTATATGAAAATCCTGAAAACTAGATACAAAGTAGAAAAAATAAATTAAACTGCTTAAAACGTTCTTATAATTTAAAAACTTACTAGCCTCAAACTAACTGATCATTCTATTATACTTGGAGACAATCATTAATAAAATCTTTATTAATACACTACAACTAGATTATTATTATGCTTCTCTTTTTTCCCTAATAATAATTCATATTCTAATTTAAATTCAATAAAAAAACAAGTAACTTAAATTATTGTTAAACCAAAAAAAGAAGCTAATAAAAAAATCTGATTTCAATAAGTTCTTAGTTAAGATACCTGTTTAATTTTTGATTACAATAACCTCTTAGTACAAGAGCATCAATATTACTAAGTTCTATTAGAGACTCTTCGATACTTTTAAATTTTTATGCTAAATGTTTGTCAATTCAGATTACAGCTGCCGGCAGGTATTGTACAGAGCTCAAATTACACAGTTACGAAAAACTAAAAATTTACTAATATCAGCAGATTTTATGACATTAGAGATCTAAAAAGAGTGTGATCATTTAGGAAGATAATGGAAAAATTATCATATATGATTGGTTGATCTAAAGTTGTTATCAATTCTGATTATCATTTAGGATATTCCCTGATGCTTACTTTTATGAACAAAAAGAAAAAGGAGAAAAAATGAAAAAACAGCTAAGAGAAAGTGATGAAAAAAATATTTTTAAAAAAAAAACACTACTGTTTAGACTAATAAAAAACTGATTTTTGAAATAAGAGGGTTTGGAAAAAATAAAAAAAAAAAGAAGTTTATAAAGAATGTTTTGTTTTTTATTCACAGGCTAAGCTGTAACTACTCTTGAATATACACATTTTTACATAAAAATTCTTAGTTGAGTGATCACTAAAAAGAGTTATATATATTTTTATATATTTTTATAATTATTAGATAATAAATTATTTTTAAAAATTAAAAAATTAAAAAATTAACATATATTAATAATTATTAATTTTAAAAGTTTAAAAATACTACTATTAGATTATAATATGATAAATCTAAAAATTTTTCATTTTTTTATAATCATTAGATATCAAAATATTTTAAGTTTTTTTTTTTAGAGATATGTATACATTGGAAGACAGATTAAGGCAGACTTTAATAAATATCTTGTCAATTATCCTGAGGTCTCATATAAATGAACACTATGTAATCTTATTACATATATCTACATAGCAAAGGTTACCATCAGTATTATAATCCAACAGTCACTAATTTTGATCTCATATTCCATATCAACTGACTCTTACTCAGATTTTAACTGATTATCAGAATTGGATAGAACTCTCTTCAGCCACAGTAATATTTTTACTAATACTTATAGGGTTTACTCTATTGATAACTAACAAGATCAAGGGATCAGGTTCTTTTATGATAGTGGCTTTGTATCCATAGCGTCAAATTACCTAGGAATTGAATCTGATCTCTAACCCTAATGGTAACAAGATCTGACTTACAGCTGCAGTATTTAAGTTAATCTGTGATACACTCTAAATCTACTAATAACTAGTTAACCACTTCCTTACTTATGTAAGGACCTCTGAGTTTAAAGACGTGAAACAGTATCCATTACAGACCTATCAGCGACAGCTAAGTTTCTATTGATCACTGGCTTCATTTATATCCACTTATTGTTCAAATCCAGTATTTAAGTATGATCAACATAGATCAATAAATCAATTTACCAATTTCTAATGCATATTAGTCAATACACTCATATGTTCAGTTACATATGAAATTCTTATGAAAATCATCTAATTTATACCTTGGCTAAGACCTGAATTTATGGTTATTACAGTATAACCCACAATAGAAGTTCAGTTGTTATCAACTAAACTAAAGATGCTGATTCCTTATCAAATATTTTAAGTTTTCTAAAATGTTTTAAAAATAATTATATATTTACAATTTAAGAGATAATTTTTATTATTAAATATTATTTTTAATAAATATATTAAAATTAATAAATAAAATTAATAAGTAAATTTGTTCATCATATTATTATAGTATATAATTATATTTTATATAAAAGATTAAAATAATAAAACTATTATAAAATTTATTGTTTAAAGTGAAATATAAATTATATATTATTAGAAATTAAAATAAAAATTTTGTTTTCTATTTATGCAGTATTGAATAAATCAATAATCAATAATCAAAATAAGAATTTATTAAAGTAATTATAATTAAGCTTTAGATTTTATTTTTTAGTATTAAAGTAACTTAATATAAAAAGTTTTTCAAATCTACTTAGATTGGAAAAATATGTTTTAATAATTATAAAATTTATATAAAAAGTAAAAGTTTTAACTTAAATAAAAGCTAAAATCTAGTAATATTATTATACAATTTTTTTATTTATCTTCAATAACATTAGAATTAAAGAAATCTAAACAGTTTGAAAAATTGTTTATAGTAATTTTTAAAATAAAACCTACTGTTAGCAGACTTTAGTATATAAAAAACTATAAATGTTAAAAGTGAATGGCTGAAGAAAAGATTAGCTAAAATGGAAACTTGTAGATGACTTATCGGCTGATTGGAAAAGTTGGGGCAATTAACATTTAAGCTCAACTGATGGGTTCAATTATATATAGCTCAAAAATACTAATAAAAGGGGATCTTTTCCGATCGGCCGATATGTTTTCATAAAAGATTATAAGATATAGAAAATAGTGTATGTAAGGGATTATTAGTGTGTGAAATTTTTATCTAAATTTTGTTTCTAAGCTAATTCTGCGTACATGACTATGATCGATCAAGTGAATTAATTAAAAAAAAAATTTTACCAAAATTTAGATTTCCTCCCTTTTTTATTGATTAGTCTAATAAAATGAATTCTGCAAGATGTAATTATGATAATGTGAGAATGCAGAACTCGAAAAAAAAAACAGAAACACTAAGCAAAACTAGATACTTGCTATGCAAGATTTGAATTACAAATTTTTTATTTTCTCTTTAAGGATATATTTCAAAAGCAATGGCTAAAAAAAAAATTGATTAAAATTGATTTTGTCGTACAATAATTCGAATTTCCTCATGGTGTTGATCGAATCCAGAATTTTTTACGATCAAATAAAAGTGATTTCAGAGTACTTCTCAATAATATCATTGATTAAACTTTGCAACGAAATCAAGATCATAGAAGATCACAGCTTAAAAGAATTAACCCCAACCACATGAAAAAAAAATCTTTTTTTTTCGTATTAGCGAATAAGAAATGCTTTATAAAATGTAAAAAACAAATATACACGAGAAAAAATAAGTTGAAAAAGGAGAAATAAAATATTTACGGGAAAAATTAAATCTACAAAATTATTTAATCGATCATCGAGGAGGCCACCAATATACCGATTGTATCACTTGTCGGGTGAGCACTCTATTAGCTCGTTAACGACGGTTTGGCCTGGAATTGTTTCATCTTTATCAAAATTCATAAGCTTTCGAAAACGTTACCTATTATATTCCTCACAAATGGATCCCAGAAATGACTCCTAAAACATCTATTCCTCCATCGTAGGACGACTAAAAAAATAATAATATACAAAAAAATGAGTACTTTGCGTCATCATCATTAAGAATTTAGTCGATTCATGCATCCTATTCACCATAAATCTTAGGAGTCACCCGTCGCTCAAGAACATCGGAAACAAGGAAGAACGTTCACGGCCAGAACCGTGGCCACGAAGAACTTTCAATTTCCCCGATATTTTACACCTAGTGGCATCGTAGCTTCAGATGCACAACGACTCGACAAATAACCCAGTGAGATACTCACCCTGTCAATAAACCTTCTTGAGAGGAGGCCGCCATCCCTATTAGCTCGTCAACGACGTTACCACCTGGATCTTTATCGAAAATACATTATACCTCCATCGTCAGGGCGACTAAAAATGATAATATACAAAAAATGAGTACTTGCGTCATCATCATTATGAATTTAAGTCGATACGTTAATTCGTGCATCCTATTCACCAAAATCTGAGCGTCCGTCACACAAGACCGTCGGAAACAAGGGAAGAACATTCACGGTCAGAACCGTGGCCACGAAGAGCTTTCAATTCCCCCGATATTTTACACCTATTGGCAGCGTAGCTTCAGATGCACAACGACTCGACAAATAACTCAGTGAGATACTCACCCTGTCCATTCGTTCTCAAGCTAACAATATCCAAACTTGCGACAGTTTTATGCCCGAGAATTTCTTCCTTTATTTACGAATGATTTAGAGAGAATTTTTTTTTATATTTAATTCTTATATACCATTTTCGTTAACAAACACGAGTTTTTTCATATCGTGTCGTTTGCTAGTTTTGGTTAGATTTTCATGAATTTTGATTGGTAAGCAGATCGGCTGCTAATAACATTTTCAGCAGTTCACAATTACAATAAATAGCGAAATGCGGAAATTTAATTATTAAACTAGGGTGGCGTTTATAGGATGTTGGGTTCGTCACCACCACCACGTTCACGTTGTTACCCTGTTGTAATGTTAATTGTGATATCTTTGATATGTGATGTTGAGTGAATGTCGTGCGACGAGCAGATTATATTAATAATAGTGAATTTTGTAGATTGCAATTTTATTTCATGTGTTGTTTAGTTTTAAAGTTATTTTTGTAAAAATTATTATGGATTTGTTGGGTTATAAAGATGAAGGGTTTTATAGATATTTGGCTAAACTCTCAAAATGGGCATATTCTGTGATTACTTCTGGGTCAGTTATAAAGGCAGATCTATCAAGAGTCACTATCTGGACATGTTTCCAACTGGAACATCAGCTAAGAGTAACATATGCTTAACTAGTGGAAAAAATTTGTTATCTAAGTTAAGGGATACATTATGCAGGATGAGCCCTTGAGTTTTGTGCACAGTTAATCTATAACAGTTTTATAATGAAAACTATCAATGATTTGCAGAGTTTCCATTAATGGTGAAGTAATTCATGATCATTTAGATTTCTAGGTCAATAATACCTTCTGGTATGTTAAATGAGATTTAGATCAGGTTTTGCTTGGATTGATGTCAATAATGACATCAATTGTTCCATTACAAATGCTAAGTTTTGTTTAAAGTTATTTAAGTATATTATCATTACAGCCTGTTGAACTTATACTGATGCTGATAGGTTCATCCTTGATTTAAACATTTTTTTAATTTAGGTTGTATTTCATCTTTTACCATTTACAAAATGTTTCTTTTATGTTAAAAAGTATTGCAAATCAAATGATTAATTTTATCAGCTGTTTATAGTAGTCTATAATATTCATAATATTAAATAAAATGTCCATTGGTTTATTAGTATTGAATTTTTGATGTTTTTTTTGTAGTTTTTCTTAAGTATCATCTGTTATGTTTCTAAGACAGATATTTTGTAACATGTCAAAAAATTTAGAATGCTCATATTATAGATGTCTGCCAAAACCTCCTCAAAATAATTTCGTCATACCCTTTTCTATGTTTTTAATATAGTTTCGACAGTTTCAGTTTTCGTCATATTGAATGGATTTCGTCATATCTCTTATTATGATTTTAATATAGTTTCGTCTAAGTTTCGACTGTTATTAAGGGGTTTTATCTCTCATCTATAGCTCATGTTAATAATAAAGTTAGCATAGAAATAGTAGACAAAATAGTTTTTAAATCGATAATTTGAATATTTGTAAACCTTAAATCAGTGAAAATTGTATTAAGTTGTCAACTAAAATCATGTTGATATCAGCAAATATTATGATATTATTGAAATAGTAGCAAATATATTCAATATAAATTCTAAGAGTTTAACTGATATTATGAAAACTTCTTCTATTATTATAGTAGTGATCTATTTTAGTTATTATTTAAACTTATTATCATAGAATATGAAAATGTGAAACCTAATTAAATTGTTAATATTTTTGGATAGTATGAATAGTAAATCTTCTAATATTTTAAGCAATAATATCTGTAAAAATTATCAAAAGATAATTTAAACTGTTACTTTTGATAAGTTTACTAAAAGATGAATAATATATTATAATTAGATTGGATTGATGAATGTGACGCAAAAGATTGCAAATCTAAATGTCAAACATATCGAATATAAGATATATTTGATAAATCTAATATAACTAATATATTGGATAAATAGGATATATTAGATATATTTAATTTATTTGTTATATTCATCTATGTATTAAATTTAATATAAATAAAGAATGATAAAATCATGTAAACTTTAGTTCACTTTAGTTTACTTTTAATTTCCTTTTAGTTTACTTTTAGATCTATCCTCAGTAGTACTCTTAAAGACACCTGACCTACCACTCGTATTTAACACTTTTAGTCTTTCAGTTTCTTTTTATTCTCTTTTATTTTTTTATTTCTTTCTTTATTTCTTATTGTTTATTGTTAATAAATATATTGTTATAACCTTGAATCAATTGAGTTGTCTTACTTTTAGTATTGTTAAGATTACACTACCATGTAAATTATAAAAGCTTAAGTTAAACTGTATTAGGTTACTATGTAAACTTTAAAAGAATCATCACTCAAACATTCTGTCTAACAGTTGCAATTTGATAGGATTGCATGTTAATAATATAATTTTCTATTCCTTCTGATCTAATAATAAAGAAGTAAAGTCAATGATATTTATTTTTTGTTATTTTAGAATGAATATTGCATAATATTAGTTAAGTAATAATTAATATATAGTATTTTTAGAAAATATTGAAAATAAAATTTTTAATGAATCTAATTAACTTTTTAAGATTATTATTATATCTCTTAAAATAGTATATTTTAAGTTTAGTAAAAATTGATCTAAAATTTCAGAATACCTTATATTTATAAATTATTTTATTTATTAGAAATAATTTTAAAAACTTTGATTAATTTCTTTGGAAATATTTAGAAACTTAAATAAATAATGATTACAATATATTGAAATTTTTTTTTCAACTTATTTTTATTTTGTATAGATATAGATTTTGATAAAAGTATATTTTTTTATTAGTTAATTTTAAAAAATAATATTAAATAATTATTAATTTAATCCTTTTTAAGATATAAGTAGATTACTTAAATACAAATTTTATTTGTTAGTTTATTTATATATTTTTTTAATAAGATCTTTGAAATAAGAATCATCTTTTTCTCTTATTAATAAATAACTAAATAGAATTACCTTTGATCTATAATTTGAAAAATCTGTATTGAGATACTTTACTTATAATAAAGAATTTTAGATTAACTTACTAAGTAGCAAAAATATTATCTCTAATACTTTTAATCTTTAAACAACTATATGCTTCTTAAATTAATCATTTTTTATTATATTAAAGATATAGAAAAATTTTATTTTTATTATGTACTTGATAATGTATCTGACAAATCTTTTAAAGATTACATATTAAGCATTTATATAAATATTTTAGATCATCAAAATTTCAGAATAATATAAGATCATCTACTGATCTGAAAATTTTGTACATTTGTATATATACTTGTAAGAATTTAGATTAAGATAAATAGTATTAGAGAATGGTTACAAAAAGTTTTTTTTATACTTCTTACTAAAAATAGCAGGTCTACTACATTTAAAGCAGTATTAACTTTTAACTATTTGGTTAAAGTTTAACCATTAATTATTTAGTTAATTTGGCTAATCAAATAGTTAAAAAAATCTTAATTGCAGTTAAATGTAAAGCTCTGAACAGTTCAGATTAATTTGAAAATTTTTAATTCAGATCAACTTTGGTTCAGTTTCAGATTGCAAAAATTTCAATCTGAAAATTTTCAGTTCAGTTCAGATTTTTTTC